ACTAAAAGTCAAGGGATGGAAAAAGATATTTCATGCAAACAACAGGGAGAAAAGAGCAGGTGTTGCAGTACTGGTATGAGACAAAATAGACTTCAAAACAAAGAAAGTAACAAGAGAGAAAGAAGGACATTACATAATGATAAAGGCGTCAGTCCAACAAGAGGGTATAACCATTATAAATATCTGTGCACCCAATATGGGAGCACCATCATATGTGAAACAAATACTAACAGAATTAACGGAGGAAATGGAATGCAATGCATTCATTTTAGGAGACTTCAACACACCACTCACTCCAAAGGACAGATCCATCAGACAGGAAATAAGTAAGGACATAGAGGCACTGAACAATACACTAGAACAGATGGACCTAACAGACATCTACAGAACACTACACCCAAAAGCAGCAGGATACACAGTCTTCTCAAGTGCACATGGAACATATTCCAGAATAGACCACATACTAGGCCACAAAAAGAGCCTCAGTAAATTCAAAAAGATCGAAATTCTACCAGTCAACTTCTCATACCACAAAGGCATAAAACTAGAAATAAATTGTACAAATTGTACAAAACAAAAAGGCTCACAAACACATGGAGGCTTAACAACATGCTTCTAAATAATCAGTGGATCAATAACCAAATTAAAATAGAGATCAATCAATATATGGAGACAAATGACACCAACAGCATAAAGCCCCAATTTCTGTGGGACACAGGGAAGGCAGTTCTAAGAGGAAAGTATATAGCAATCCAGGCCTATCTAAATAAGGAAGAACATTCCCAAATGAATACTCTATAAAGTCACAATTATTGAAACTGGAAAAAGAAGAACAAATAAGGCCCAAAGTCAGCAGAAGGAGGGACATAATAAAGATCAGAGAAGAAATAAATAAAATTGAGAACAATAAAATAATAAAAAAATCACTGAAACCAATTCTTCAAAAAAATAAAAAAAATAGATAAGCCCCTAGCCAGACTTATTAAGAGAAAAAGAGAATCAACACACATCAACATAATGAGAAATAAGAAAGGAAAAGTCATGACAGACCCCACAGAAATACAAGGAATTATTAGAGAATACTATGAAAATCTATATACTAACAAGCTGGAAAACCTAGAAGAAATGGACAACTTCCTAGAAAAATACAACCTTCCAAGACTAACCAACGAAGAAACAGAAAATCTAAACCAAACAGAAAAACAGACCAATTACCAGCAAATAAATTGAATTGGTAATCAAAAAACTACCCAGGAACAAAACCCCTGGGCCAGATGGATTCACCACAGAATTTTATCAGACATACAGAGAAGACATAACACCTATTCTCCTTAAAGTTTTCCAAAAAAAGAACAGGAGGGAACACTTCCAAACTCATTCTATGAAGCCAGCATCACTCTAATACCAAAACCAGGCAAAGACCCCATGAAAAAAGAAAATTACAGACCAATATCCTGATGAACATAGATGCAAAAATACTCAACAAAATATTAGCAAACCAAAATCAAAAATACATCAAGAGGATCATACACCATGATCAAGTGGGATTCCTCTCAGGGATGCAAGGATGGTACAACATTCGAGAATCCATCAACATCATCCACCACATCAACAAAAAGAAGGACAGAAACCACATGATCATTTCCATAGATGCTGAAAAAGCATTCAACAAAATTCAACACCCATTCATGATATAAACTCTCAACAAAATGGGTATAGAGGGCAAGTACCTGAATATAATAAAGGCCATATATGACAAACCCACAGCCAACATCATACTTAACAGCGAGAAGCTAAAAGCTTTTCCTTTAAGATTGGGAACAAGACAGGGATGCCCACTCTCCCCACTGTTATTCAACGTGGTACTGGAGGTCCTAGCCACGACAATCAGACAAAATAAAGAAATACAAATCATCCGGATTGGTAAAGAGGAAGTGAAACTGTCAGTGTTTGCAGATGACATGATATTGTACATAAAAAACCATAAAGACTCCATTCCAAAACTACTAGAAGTAATATCTGAATTCAGCAAAGTTGCAGGATACAAAATTAATACACAGAAATCTGTGGCTTTCCTATACACTAATGATGAATTAACAGAAAGAGAAATCAGGAAAACTATTCCATCCACAATTGCATCAGAAAGAATAAACTACCTAGGAATAAACCTTACCAAGGAAGTGAAAGACCTATACCCTGAAAACTATAAGACACTCTTACAAGAAATTAAAGAGGTCACTAACAAATGGAAACTCATCCCATATTCCTGGCCAGGAAGAATTAATATTGTCAAAATGGCCATCCTGCCTAAAGCAATCTACAGATTCAATGCAAAGCCTATGAAAATACCAACAACATTCTTGAATGAATTGGAACAAATAGTTCTAAAATTCATATGGAACCACCAAAGACCCCGAATAGCCAAAGCAATCCTGAGAAGGAAGAATAAAGCAGGGGGATCTCGCTTCCCAACTTCAAGCTCTACTTCAAATGACAGTAATCAAGACAATTTGGTACTGGCACAAGAACAGAGCCATAGACCAGTGGAACAGAATAGAGAGTCCAGATATTAACCCAAACATATATGGTCAATTAATGTATGATAAAGGAGCCATGGACATACAATGGGGAAATGACAGCCTCTTCAACAGGTGGTGTTGGCAAAACTGGACAGCTACATATAAGAGAATGAAACTGGATCACTGTCTAACCCCATACACAAAAGTAAATTTGAAATGGGTCAAAGACCTGAATGTAATTCATGAAACCATAAAACTCTTCGAAAAAAATATAGGCAAAAATCTCTTGGATATAAACACGAGTGACTTCTTCATGAACATATCTCCCCGGGCAAGAAAACAAAAGCAAAAATGAACACGTGGGACTACATCAAGCTGAAAAGTGTCTCTACAGCAAAGGACACCACCAATAGAACAAAAAGGCATCCTACAGTATGGGAGAATATATTCATAAATGACAGATACTATAAAGGGTTGACATCCAAAATATATAAACAGCTCACACACCTCAAGAAACAAAAAGCAAAAAATCTAATTAAAAAATGGGCAAAGGACCTGAACAGACAGTTCTCCAAAGAAGAAATTCAGATGGCCAACAGACACATGAAAAGATTCTCCATGTCGCTAGTCATCAGAGAAATGCTAAGTAAAACCACAATGAGATATCACCTCACACCAGTAAGGATGGCCACCATCCAAAAGACAAACAACAACAAATGTTGGTGAGGTTGTGGAGAAACGGGAACTGCTGGTGGGAATGTAAATTAGTTCAACCATTGTGGAAAGCAGTATGGAGTTTCCTCAAAAAGCTCAAAATAGAAATACCTTTTGACCCAGGAATTCCACTTCTTGGAATTTACCCTAAGGATGCAGCAGTCCAGTTTTAAAAAGACAGATGCACCCCTATGTTTATCGCAGCACTATCTACAATAGCCAAGAAATGGAAGCAACCTAAGTGTCCATCAGTAGTTGAATGGATAAAGAAGATGTGGTGCATATACACAATGGAATATTATTCAGCCATAAGAATAAAACAAATCCTACCATTTGCAACAACATGGATGGAGCTAGAGGGTATTATGCTCAGTGGAAAGGGGGCATTACCATTAGCATGTATAATGTGGGTGGGGCTCGGGGAGGGCTGTGCAATACAGAGAATATAAGTAGTGACTCTATAGCATCTTACTATGCAGATGGACAGTGAGTGTAATGGGGTTTTGTGGGGGGGACTTGGTGATGTGGGGAGTGTAGTAAAGATAATGTTCCTCATGTTATTGTAGATTAATCATACCAAAAACAAACAAACAGACAAACAAATAAGTCATTTTTGGAAAAGCTGTGTTCTTTTGTAATTGTAGTGCATTTGCCTGCATTCTTACTGGGTTCTTGGAAATGGTAGTTCTAAAGGGGAGGAAGAAAACGTGGGAGGGCGGAAGATGATGACTTACAAAACAGCAAAACAAGTTTTGATTTGCATTTAAATATTGGTCACAATACTAGTAAAATGTGTATGCTTTTATTAGCATTAATTAACTTATATAACTAGGAAGTATTATAAATTATATTGTCCTTAAAAATAAAAAACATTTTATATGAGAAGTGTCAGTGTATAGAATTTTAACGAGCAGCGCACTGGAAGTTAGAATAACTGGAATGTCATCCTGTCTCAGTGGCTAGGACATTATGTAATCCCGGGTCACCTTCCCAGCCCACTCCCACCCTGCTCCTGCTACAACCTCATGCAAACAATGTTCCCTTTTTCTCATGTGAATGATAAGGTAGTAGACTAGATAATTACTAAGCTTCCTCTTAAGATTCTGTTACTTCAATATATGTCCTACTTTCCAGAAGGTTTATGTATTTTCACCTAATGAAATTAAGTAGCTTTGTATTTATTTGTGATTTTAAAAGTGACTGAGCCAAAACATTTAAACAGCAGTGGTTTGGTTGCTTGACACTAAGTCTGCTTTTGGGTTTATGGAGGAATTATCAGTGTACTGGTTTACTTGTAACTGAGGGTAGATTTCCAAGGGTTTGATAATAGTGAGGTAAATAGCTTTGGAATTCTCGGGACTCTAGAAAGCTAATTGCAGAAATTTAAAATTTAAAGCATTTGAATGGCTTCCTTTTCAAAGTGATTTTTAACAAAGGTTTGTCATACTATATTTGTGCTACAGTTGAAACGCTGAGGTAGCATTTTGGCTTCTTTCCCAGAAGCGCGCTCAGAGGCGAGCGGCAGCGTTCCTCCTGATCTCGTGAGTGCTTTTTACCCTGAGAGTGGCGCAGCTTCTGCGGATGTAGGGAAACCCTCCCATTTGATCTGCAGTCGAGAAGAATGGAGCTCTATGTCCAGTAGGAATCAGTGGTCTAGCAAGGTTGTAGGAAATAGAAATGACTATACGTTTCAACATCTGAGCAAGAAAACATTTACAATATTTTTTTCTTTCAGTTGATAAATTTTTGCTTTCTGTTTCCTTCCAGAGAGATGTGGATAATTTGCCCTGCCTCCAACGTCTGTTTCTCAGCTTCAACAATATATCTACGTAAGTGGAAACTCCCAACTTGTCTTTTAGTAATAACTTGATTGAGTTTGAGTGCCTTAAATCAAGGTTGTAAGTATCTTGTATAATTTTATTGATGTATAAGATTTTAAATTGGAAAGTGACAATGTTCTTTGTGGAAAAAGAAATCTCTGGTGTGTATTAGTGCCTCTAATGCTAAAATGATGAAATTAGTATAGCATGTGCTTATTTTACTATATTTTAGAGTTGCTCTTTTGTAAAATGTGTATGTGGAAATTTCAACATGTATTTTGCTTGACATATGGTTTGCCTGACAACATATATTTTGTTTGACGCTGCACTAGCCAATGGATTAGAATTTCTTTCATAAATTACCATCTATAATCTGTATAGCTACTAAGCAATTTTTATGTAGCAGTCTCTATTTGTCACTGAGCCACTTGCTAGTTAGGCCATAACTTCTTACTTGGTATCCCTACTTAGAACTAATGCTGCTATGAGACTGTATATCAGGCTATATAAATATATGAATTTTGTTTTCTAAAGATTTGAAGCTTATTTTCCTATATATTGTGATGGTGTCTCCGTCAGTGTCACTGTGGAAGCTTTCACAGTGGGAGCTGAAAGAGTCAGACTTTTCAAAGGAAAAGGACCCCTACTCCTTCCCTAATTCTTTCCTTCCTCTTACCACTTAGTTTGAACTATGCTTTATAATTTTATATTTAATTTATATTATATTCTTATCCCCAGTTCCTTAGTTTCATTTCAAGGCTATTCTCTGCTTTTCTAAGAGGGTAAAAGTTAAGTGTAAAAGAGTTTAGAGCCCATCTCTTCCTAAGCTCCAGTTCTATGCTTCTGATTATTAAAAAAACAGTTTGGTTTTTGTGTATTTTCTATTTGCATCTTTTTCCTCCTCCTTCAGATTTAAGTGTTAACCCCATATCTCTAAAGGTTAAAGATTAAATCCAACTAGTGAACTTTGCTTGTATGTATTATTTCAAAGAAAATGCCCTTAGTCTTTGTCTTTCTTCTATTCTGTGGAAAAAGCATTAAAGTTCTCCCAAAGATTTTTCATATTCTTTTCAGTTTATGTTGACTGCTGTTCCAGGTGCTTTTTTAGCTTCTTGGGGAGGTAATATTTATTTTCAATGGCAATAGAACAGTACATTGTTTCTCATGTCTCACAATATTAACTGTTTAAGGTGCTGAAAACTCTTAGATTTCTCCGACCTATGATAGAACTCATCACTTTTGCTTCTTGTCTGGTTTATGGTGAATAATTTAAAGAGAGATATAAATTTGGGTATATAGTGGGTATGATGTTCCTAGGACCCCTGGATAACTGAACTTCTGAATTCCTGACTCTGTAGGGAGTTGGTTTTAATTGCTAGTACTTAGGGAATTTTCTTTCCAACCTGGAAAAAAAGAGTTTCTCCCATCCAGCAAAGTAAAGATGAGATTAATGGGATGACTATTTGTAACTTTCTTTAAGAAAACATAATTCCTCAAGAAATTGAGATAGAAGTGAGTCAACAATTTCAGGGTTTTCATTTTCTTACTGATTGCTTTCTCTGTAGCCCTTTATCATCTTGTAGTGCTTCTATTCCTATTGATGCATGTGGTACAGGAGGTGGTACAGGGAATATAATGGGTGGGTCTATGGGGAAAAAAACCAGAGAGTAGAAACCTTGAAAACATTTCTGTGAACTTTACTCAAGGCACAAATATCTCAGATAGCTGGGCCATCAAATGATCTGATAACCTCAAACGTAGTGATAACTATAGTATCTTTCTAGGACCTGAGTCCCCTGCCACAGTCCTGGCATATATAGCATTGCCTAGTTTTACAGTTCAGTAGCCCAGGGGCAACAGAGGTCAAGAAGAAGTGAAACACACTAGAAAGCTAAAAATCACTACCTTTTGCAATTCCCTATGGAAAATTCTCAGTATTCAGCAAGTGAAAATATCCAACTGCATATCTATTCTGGGAGATAAAAATGGCTGTTATGTAGTAGGGCTTCCTAGGTTTTGACCAAGTTGTTGGATTCTTAGGGGTCCATTTGCATAAGGTAGTGGGTACATGGTGGAAATTCAGAAAGTTCCAAAATGTGGTGGCATCCTCTTGAATTCAGAGAACTCCAACACAGGATGAATAGGTACCCGTATTTAATGATGTGAGGACAGACCCTTTTTGTGTTTTCCTGCAGATACTAGAGCAGTGCATTTAGTTCCATCAGCAAACATGCAAGATATGTTTAAAGAACAAGTTACATATATCCATGTCTGTGTATCTGAATAGAATCAGTGCTTCTAGTTAAAATACCTCTCAGAACATAAGGATGATAGAGAACAAAAAGACAATTATAGTATAATGAGTTAAACTGAGTTGCAATAATACGGGGATATTAGAAACTGTAGGTAAGCCTGGGGAAGTGAAATCAGCCTTCCTAAAGGGAGGTGGTGCCTGGGCGGGGCTCTAAGTGAAGAGCAGGCCTTATAAAGTGAAGGGTTCTTGGACATTCCAGGCAGGGCACAACCTGGCAAAGTTGATTCAGAGGGCTCAGGGCACCCTCAGTGAGATCCTTGCCCTTCCGCTCTCCCACTCCCAATACACCCTGGGCCCTCCTCCAGCCTGCCAAAGTACTTTTTATGATAATTGTCCTGAAAGAAGTATTCTGTAGTTAATCAAGGGGATCAGTTATGTCAAATTATTTTTTTTAGACCTACCCTCAATCCATTTATACACCTCTTCTTCTGAGGTACTGTTTGGTTGATTTAAATTTCCAAGTAATCTGATTGTTTTTGTCTAATGGGTTATTCATATTTAATGAATGAGATGAAGTTGTCTTTAATTTCTAGAATTTACTTTTTTCCCTCAGAATTAATACCTGTGTTTGTTCTGTAAACAAACATAAATACTCTTTCTTTGTTTCTTTATTTCTGTGACTTTTGGATGACAATTCATATTTATAAATGAGAATCTAGACGGATTTGTCTCCTCAACTTAAATTTTAAAAATCGCTGTGAAGGCAAATGAGGAGGAGAGAGTCTCTGCAGAGGGTGTAGGCTAGGGAGGTATCTACCGACTTGGACTTGCTTTGGTGTGTTCCCAAGAAACTTGCCTTCTGGGAACTGAAGCTCCTTTCTCATCTTGGCCACCAGAATTTACCCAGAGCGCTGCCCTTCTTCTCTCATATTTTCAACCTAGGGGCAATTCTAGAATTGCTGTAAGAGAGGCTGAACATTGTTAGCAAACCCTTCAGTAATTACTGGACAACCGACCCACTCCTGCTGCCAACACTTTCTGCCTCTGATCCAGGGACTCCTCTGAAGTCTTTTTTGTCGGCAGTGCTTGCTTACAATGTAACGATCCTGTTCACTTTGGCCTCTTTTGCAACTTTGGGATTTACTGACCCCATCTGCTTTGTATCTTCCAGAAATTCTTTAGTGTTCTGGTTTGCTAATGGAACTCTTCCTAGATTTCTAGTACAGCTATGGATATTTTATACTTTCATGTCCAGTCATTGCAAAGGTATTTTGAGAGAATGGGGAGAGGTAAGAGCACGTGCTCTGGCAGCCATTCTCATAACTGTCCCTCCTTTGTGTGATTTCCCCAAATATTCTACATATAAAAATTATCTTTGAAAACTTTAAACATACATAGTTACTGGTTCACTGCTGGATGATCTCTCCAGTAGATTTGGAGTGGGGCCAGGGATCCATATTTTTGAAAGGTCCTCAGAGGATTCTCTTATTTAACTCAGTGCTAGATTGGGGAGCAACTGAGCCATGGCACCCCAAAATGAGAATATTTGTTAACTGTTTTATACAAAATTTCCCTTCAGCTTTTCAAACAAAAGTATTTGTCAAGGATAAATATTTGCTGCCCTTGGAATGTAGTTCATGATCAGTAGCCAGAACTGAGTTCTGCTCTTTATTACAAGGTTAAGTTGTACTTCCCAGTCTCTCTCTTCTTCTCTTCTCCAATGTAGAAAGTTTTTACAAGTTTTTCTTCTTACAACAAAGGAAGAAGGGCTTGTCACTCTAGTGCCCTGATTGTTTAAAAAGGAATAGTTGCTATTGCTTTGAGAACTGACGGGAAAGGGACCAAACACAAGTCAAGGTCAGATATCAATTCAGAACTCTTGGTCTCATGTATTCTTTTTAAAAAAACTGTGGTAAAATACATATAAATATACCATCTCAACCATTTTTAAGCATACAGCACAGTCCTGTTTCATGCATTGACGCTGTTGTGCAGCCAATCTTCAGAACTCTTTTTGCCTTGAATCTCTACCAATTAAACAACTGCCCCTTCCTCTCTCTCCCCCAGGCCGTAGCAACCACCATTCTATGTTCTGTCTCTTATGAATTTGACCATTCTAGGTGCCTCATATAAGTGGAATCATGTTTGTCTTTTTGTGACTGGTTCATTTCACTTGGCGTAATGTCCTCAAAGTTCATCCATGTTGAACAGCATGTGTCCATATTTCCTTGCTTTTCAAGGCTGAACACTCATCTGGTATTCTTGAGGCAGTTTGGAACAGATTAGATAGAAGAGGGTGCTTGCGGGTTGAGCGCTGCCTGTGTGGTCACGCCCCCTGCCTGCCCGTGATGTACTAGGCTCCTGTGCCACCGAGAGTCCTTAAGCACATCATGCTCCCCCTGCCCGTTCAGTGTCTGTGTCTCCTGTGGTTTCTGGCAGCAACATTTTTCTACCCTCAATCTCTGTGAATAACTACTGATTATCCTTTTGATTTCAGATTAAGTGATACCAAAGGTTCTCAAACTTTAATATGCCTAATAATCATCAGGGGAGACTGCTAAAATGCAGTGTTATGGGACCCATCTTCCATGGATTCTAATTCAGTCATTTTAGATGGGGCTCAGGAATTTGTATCCTTAGCAAGTGATACAGCTGACTTAAAATACAACTGGCCTGTGTTTTTCAGACTTTGGTCAAAACCCATAAAGCAATCTTAAAATCAACCTAGTGGTTAAGACTGGGAAAATAAAAATGG